CTTGGTGGCGAGCTTCTGTTCATGTATTCTGGCTGAGAGCATCCTTCCTGTTTGTCCTACATACCGTTTGTCGCAGTCCTTGCATTGGATCCTGTATATGACATTGTTCTTCGCCATTGGATCTAATTTCCCTTTTGGTCTTGATAGTGTCCTCCTTAGAGTGCTCGCAGGCTTGTAAGCGACCAATATATTGTGCTGTCGTAAGAGCCTTGCCGTCATTTCAGCGGTGTTCTTGACGTACGGGAGTGTGACTCGTTTGCTTGCGTTTTGTCCTGTTGCATCGATCGTATTTGGCTTCCTGAGTGTTCTCCGTTCGGAAATCTAGTGACAAGGACGCCCAGGAACGCCAGTTTTCCGTTGTGAAGTTGATGTCGTCAAAGGCATTGTTTAGCAGTTGGATTACTCTTTACAGTTCGCTTCTTTTGATGATCACGAATGTATCGCATCTGGCTAAATCAGTCCAATTTAGGTTCAAGTAGAACATAAGGCTGACGCAAACCCAGGGGCTGCGCCTACCTGATGAACCGTAAGAAGAGCGAAACCCTTTGTGAACTGTCGACGAGTTTTCAGCAGCCTGGTGAGTAGTTTCCTTTGTGACTATCACTCGTTATTTATACTTTTCATGTGCTAATTCATCAGTAACATGAATTGGCTTGCTTGAGTGATGAAGCTACACACACACACACACATGCTGAGAGGCGGTTCATGAAACGCGCCCTAGTCACCCTTTATCGATCTTTCTGGAGACCATTACTATGCGGCATCCGCATGTGTGTACCGGACATAACTAGCATGCGAGATTTAAAAAAATGTACGTTTGTTTCCAAGCTGTCCGTCAAAATCACACTTAGGGAGATACATCTGGTTTGAGTACATGCTCTTGAAATGCATGTTCATCATTCCACGCACATTTGACAGACATTTGAAAAAACTGGACCAATCACTTGGCGCCGCAAAAGTGCTTTTTCGGGTCACTGAGTCATATTCATGCCGCATGTGACCTTCAGGATACGGCCAAATACCACTCATAACACTGGATCCACCGGTTGAAAGAATCGGGAACCGATTTGTTACTTGAGGTCGCGACGAAAGATTGCTGTCCTTGAGAGCATTGATAACTAGAACTATCCACTGCATCTCTAGATTTGTCCGGTTGCTTTGAAGGTCTGAGAACAATAGGCCTATGTGATGAGTTTGGCAAAGTCAGTAGTTATGAAGGTCATGCAACTGACGCAATACCTCTGAAAATTTATGGGGCTTTCTCAGATATGTATGAACAAGTTACATCGCTTCATAACCACCTTAAAGGTTTCTATTTCAATGCGGTAAGAAACCCCAAAATGCAAGCCTAGAGCAAATAAAATGTCCTTCGATGTGTAAGGTCTCTCCTCAGGAGTCTGTTTTGTAGATATATGTCCAAATAGCTAATGACCATCGGTGCTTTCATTCTAAGCCAACTTACTGTGATTTAAGAAATGAACTTGTTGGCTTTCCTGAAGGGTACTACTCACAAGGTTCTAGTAGAAAGGGAGACCATTGAAAACTCGGGGACTGCGCCTATCTTGTGAGCCTGAGGTTGAAGGGCGAATTTCCAGTAACCTTGCGAATAATTCAATAAATTATACCGCAGTATCTCACATACTGTACCAAGCCTAGTCTTCCGTGTGAAACTAAATTAGAGTGAAAACAAGTGCATTTCGAAAAATTGCTGATCTTTCCGAAATATTCATACGTTGCGCATTCTTTTTAATGCCGTGTTCATAACTTCAATCCAGACGACCTTCTGGCATCATGGGGAAATTGACAGATTATTTTCACGCAACTGTGCTCCCGTCACTAACCTGATAGTATCAGCAAATATTGGAGGCTATTTCCGTTGAAACAGTAGACTGCTTTGTGTTGACAGTATGAACATATATGAGAATTTTCGACGGGGACTTCGTCTTTTGATTACTTAGGAGAACCAGCTCCGAACCTAACAAGACTGCCAATGGAATAACCATTTTGGTTGAGAATGATTTACTTGGTTGTCCTTCACTTGCCCTTGACAGATGAGTCCTATTTTTAGTATCGCTGTTTGACCCGCCTAGAACTTTCCACGTGAGCTTTCTAAGCAGCCCGCTTTCGGCTGCACATGACACGCTTGCACGCGTGTCGAACAATAGATCAGCTGACACGCACGTTCATTGGTTGTCTGGTTTGGATAAACGCACCAGGCTAGCAAAGCAGTTAACAGACTCGAGTTCACGGTATTAAGAAGTCATTAGAAAAACTGTGGTCCACAACATTGTTAAAATCAAATAAGTTCACTGTTAGGCTCATTTCGCGCCTTGCGGTTTAGTAGCTGTTTGTCTACGTGCCATTTTGTACGNTTCCCATTGTTTGAGAACATATTCAATGAAAACATATTAGTGTTTAGTTCTGGCCTAGAACCATGCAGACGCAATTGCACGGTACTGTGACAAACCCTAATAACAGTGCCCTACAGGACTGGCATGAGACGATCCGAATCAGTTCCAAGTGTGATTGATATTCAACTAGGAATCCGTCTTCGTTATTTGTTGTACCATGGCTTTGGGTTCCCGGACTTGTTTGCCTACAAGTTGGAAGAGGAAAACGAGTAACATCCCAATGCTTCTTGGGAAGAGTTATTCGGCTTCGTTGTACTGTTCTCTGTTGGGTTCAACGGTGGGTTCTTATTAATTCAATTGATTTGGACGAATTCACGGAAATCCGGGGATGTCCCGAAATTCGAGCGTTCTTTTTTAAAAGGCTTCCATCGGTTATATGTTGACCACACCTCTGCCGAACCGTCAACGTGTGGTTAATGGGTTACTCATGGTCGACTGCAGGTGTCTGATGTGGAACGGCGAGAAAGCTTTCTTTCTGCCCATCACGCAGCCCAGATTTGGCTTTGTGCAAAAATCCGTTTGCAAATTGACCATTGCGCATGCTATGACACTCGAATGCGTAAAAAGACAAGAGATAATTTTTCACCCCGCGCCTGTTCATGTGAGCATCTTCTTAGCATCCGTCCATCTGATTAGCAGCGCTAATTGATTGCACACAAATCATCGCCTAATGCACGGTATTGTTTGCTGTTCGTCCACTCTGCTCATTCACGCAGAGATTAGGCGTAGAGTAGAAAGCGGACTTTTGAGGCCGAGAGTTTATGCGGGATCACTACGTCCGTTGCCAAGAAGTGCCAATCAGGGAATATGAATTGGACAGGAAAAAATAACGCTTTGAAAGAATTTCGAGGCTTGTAAAATGTGAATCCGGGTAAAAATATAGTTTGTGATTCATTTGAAGAGACAAGACAGGCTGTCAACACCACCGGGAGAAAATGCTGTCTCTGTTGTCTTCAGGTTGCCGCTGAAAACTCCTTGACAGCGCACGACCGGTTTCGCCCTTCTTGGGGCTCATCAGGTAGGCGCAGTCCCTGGGTTTCCGTCAACCTTATGTTCTACTTGAAACCAAATTGCACGAAATTAGCGAATATACACTCATTCGCAAACCAATTTGGTTTTTCGGGAGACCCAGCTAAATCTCTCGGCTCTGGTGTTTCCAGTTGCCTGGAAAGAGGTTCCAGGTGGGTCTCCCGAAAAACCAAATTAGTTTGCAAATGAATGTATATTTGCTAAAGTCTGCGTTAAGTTCACCTGGAGTTCAAAGCTTTTAATCTAACTTTAGGAAGGCTTTTCACATGTTCTCACGGATTTGTCAACCAAACATTGTAATCAATAAAAAATGGGTGAAATCTTATTCTGGCAGACATCTTCCGTGGCGAATACTTGTAACATTCACGAGAAGAATTCCTTGGTCCACGAATCGAAAAAAAACATATAACTGTCTTTATGGGAGTTGGTAGGATTTTGCACACTTGTGATGGCTAGAGTTTCCAAAGTGTGTGTACCTCTTGGAAGTCAACCACGAGGAGCTGAGTCAATCCTCAGCCGTTCCTGCATAGAAAGGTAAAGTCATTGCTGAAGCTTTCAAGTTCCAATAAGTTCTGGGCGGTTAGAAAACACGGTTAAGTCGTCTAAATTTTGTTTTCACAAGGTCAAGGAGGTATCCTTTGCTCCGGATCGTGTTTAAAGCAGCTCTTCATTAAACACGACCTAAACCCGAGCAGTTTTGCAGACATTTTGCTTCATAGACTGGATCAGTGACTTCAAGGTGAACCGGCTGAAGCTGAAGCTCCTTACCGGCTCAACTGCCCCTTTCATGATGTTCTTTCCGTTTATTTATGTTGGATATCATAAAAATGACCTTTGGGTTCCGCCAAAACCTCACGCCCCAGGTTTTGTTCTGCTTAACTCAGCAGTTCACTGAATGTACGCAGACAGAGTGCTCATAAACCCGGCACTTGTTCTACCACAAAGAAATAAGCCTAGAAAAATGCCCTCAAATTCGTTTCCCTTGCGCTACACTCGCACACAATGGAGGCCTCGAACGAAACAGAGCAGTGACCAGTACATGGCAGATCCGGTGCAGCAGTTTTGAACTCAAGAACTCAGATGAGGTCACTATGCCCAGTGTACCACCCATTCTCCTGGTTTAAAAGTCTGTAACGACGTATATTACTGGCAAACCTTGGGGTACCATCTGTTCAAAGGAGTTTGAAAAGCCCACCCAAATCTATTCGACGGATAAGTTACCGATTATTGATCTGTTCTGATGTGTTGGTTCAGTTGTATCAAATATTCAGACAACATCCAGGAGGGCTCGGTGGGTATGCTTGAAACCATCGAGTTTCTCGAGTTTTATTTTCGTGTTCAATTGCTTGTTCGTGCTTCATAGCATTGGGAGGGTCCCAAAGGGCAAGTGTTTGCCGGCGAAGTAGTCGCATGGGATATGGTTGATCCATCAACACCGGAAAGGGGTTATGATCGATCAGTTTTTGAATACTGGTTGGTCGAATGTTGACTAAACACCCACACAGATAAGCATGGGTAGCTGATTGGTCAGGATGCCTCTCTTACTATCCAAGTGGTTAGAGCGCGAATTTACTGACCGGAAGGTCAGTGGTTCGAACCCGACCTCTGCCTCTACTTCCCCTGTCTAGGCTTGGGCGCCCTGGCAGTATTCAAGCCCTCGTGCCTCCTTCATGTGGCATGGCAGCTAGGCACCGAAAGGGTGCTACAGCTGGACGACTTACTAACCACAAGTAAGATAGAAACGGCGCGAAAAGTGTCTAAAAGACTGATAGTTGAATTTCTGGCTGAATACACACAAACTGTCTTAGTGGTTACTGTCTACCGTCCCAGTCAAGAAAGTCAATCATTACCTTCGCAAAATCAATCCCAAGGTGATTTCGCTGCCTGGTTATTACATCTAATCTGTGATTATATTAAGGGGGCCGGCGAACAAAGGTTACACGGTCGGATGTTATGAGCTATGCAGCCTGCACTTTAGAGATTTGCATCAGTGACGAGGCCTTGTTCGTGTGCTCTACATCTCACACTCAACAAAGTATTGCTTGCAGCCTGCTCATCAAACTTCTACGGCAGATTCTACATCGCAAGGAAAACTACATTACAGAGTTCGGTAACAAGACAATTGTGTTGCGTCGGTATAGTCACGCGGATGACATTTCTCCCCACTCACATCCAATAAGATCAGTTCATAGGCGAGAACTGACTTCCAATCGGTGTGTGTTTTTAATGCGTCGAAACAGACCGACGGGACGAATGCGCTTTACCAGAGCGTTACATACATATCGGGCTTTGTTTGGTTTACATGCTTGTGACAAAGTGCTGGAGCTTACCAGCCAACGCGATGACTGTGTCCAAATTAGGATGTTTTTTACTTGTTGGCGATCTTGATTCTATTTCTAGCTACGCCGAATGCAAGCAACGGGGCCCGCTTGAACCTGAATACTATTCAACACTCCATTAATTTGGTGGAAAACAGAAAAATAAACCAGCAAGTATTTTCATGGGAGACTTTCAGATGAAACGAGGCATTCGTGGGAATTCCTTGTGAGATTTTTATAGGATTGGCAATATGTGAATAATTCGTCTCATTGAAGATTACACACCTTTTTTGTTAAAATATAGATTCAAGTACACCAAACATGACAGGTTTCTCGGACAGAAATCCCAATCGGGTGAATGTTCTACCAACAAGTGGAAGCGTCGCAATTGTTTATCTTCAGAAAAAAACTGTCAATTTAAGAAGAGACCGAGAACCTGCATGTTTCGGGGGGCTAAGTGACGGCTTTCGGACATAGCCAGCAAGTACACTGCACTGCTCCAAAGGCCATTCAGAACAGATGTGGAAATGACAGGCCTGATAAGTCATTACTATTACCGGTGAAAGGAAGTAAGCCATCCTCTTCAAATTTGTTCATCATAAAACACGAACCGAGCAGTTAAAAGCCATTAGGAACAAAAGCAAACATCTCTTTTGCACAGTTTTTGAAAATTGGATAATGTCAACCGTCCTTTTGTACTTTTCTGAACTTTCATGGACCACATAGTAGACGAACACAACAAAGCGGTTCCACGATTTTCGTAACAGCCTTCACCTTCCATCACATGCTGGGGTGGAGCCTGGACATCAGAACATAGACTACTTGCATGCCTCGTCAGTAGTGTACGGCGTTACGCCCAATGACTGGTAAGCTCGAAAATACATCGCAATGAAACAGATGAGGCAAAACTTCGAGAAATACACTCATTTACCAATCAATTTAGTTTTCACGGGATACTCAACCGAATCTCACGTTTATGAAATTCTACAACTGAATGTGCTGCACAGTTGAGTCTTTCGTGAAAAACCAAATTGACTTGCAAATGAGTGTATTTCTAGAAAACAGTTCAAGTTGGGTTCAAGTAGAACATAAGGTTGACGGATACTCGGAGACTGTGCCTACCTGATAAGCACCAACAAGGGCGAAACCGGTTGTGGGCAACCTTGTGGGTAGTTTCCTTCATGGCATACATTCATTCTTCCGTGTACCACTACTCCGACGCCATATTCCACGAGTTAATCGATGATCCCAAACCTATCATGTGCAGTCTGTAATTTCGGTCAATGACGGTTATATTCACATGCGCTTCCTAGTCTGACGAGAATATTCCGATCAGTCCATACCAACGCGACGAATTCATTGAACTCGGGTGTTATTCTTATTGTAGCCCAGTGTAGCTCTATCTATAGGATCCGAACCCAGGATAACTGACGTGCGATGCTACCATGTCACTATTAAGTACTCTACTGTCGGCCTTCTGGAAGGACCAAAGATTTGTGCTGCTGATAAGCTCTGATAAAAACAAGGGTCGAGTTCAGTGGTCTGTACGTTTTCTTGCGGAACAAGCGGAATATATTGATGCCACACTGAAGATAAGGTGCATAGGGCTGCTACCTGCAACTCAATAAATGCTCTGTAGAATCACTGTGGAGACCCTCCATTTCTAGGTAGATTTTTATCACATCCTAAGTGGATCATTGCGTTGTTAAGTGCCGCGCAGGATTCTTTTCCTGGAGAGGCTACTAAACGCTCCGTTGGGCTCTTTGAATTGGAACTTTGTAAATCGATAGCGGAACAAAACCAGAACAAACATGAAAGGTTTTCGATATTTTCCATTTTGACAGTGCTCACTTAGATTTTTCGGTTCATGGATATCCCGAAGAGTCCACTTGGGATATCTAGTTACAAGGCACAAAAGTTTCACAGATTTCGGAACTTTGCTTCGAAGCAACAGCCATGACTTGTGATAAGAAAAACGATAGATTCCCTGTGAGTTTTACCATTTTGAGATTCAGACCCAATGTGGTAAACCAGCTTTTTATCCCATAGTAGGTGGAATCTGATCAGGATTTCAAATGAGATAAGATGCTCAGTAGTTTTGCCATTGAGAAAATACGGAAATTCATAGGGTTGACCAACTATGGCCCACATCTTGCCCCCTCATTAAGTAGTAGACTCCTAGTCATCATCATCATCATCATCGTCATCATCATTGTCAGCTGTAATAACCACGTACTCGTCGTACTGTGGTTTTAGCTGCCGCAAGTAGACTCCTAGTACCTGAAGTGTGATGTTTCAGGTGTCCGAGAATGAAAACACGGTCATTATGATTGTTAAATTCCCTACTCAAGCTTAAGAACATGTAATTCCTCGTAGAGGACAACTAAAAACCTCAAGTTTTCGGCAACCTTAACTGGGATTTTTCCAGTTGAAAGAAATAGAATGACCAGTGTAAAGTGAAACAAACTCATTTCAAGTCAGCATTTCTCTCGAGTAGTAAGTTGGTCTCACAGTCAGAAACGGCGGCATGTGGCGGTTCGTGTCCAGTCGAGTCTCCCATTTTCCAGTCTTGCACCGACGAACTCATTCCCATGGGATCTCGTCAAATGTCAACTCCATTAGGCATGTCATTCTGCCGACTTTGGTAGAGCTGGTCTCCATCTCGCTCGTGGCTAGTTGAACTTACTGGAGCTAAGAGAACTGAGTAATTACTGGTAAATTTTAAGGGATAAATGCAACGAAAAGAAGAGCGCACTTTTCAGCCTATGCTTCACCAATTTATGCATGTTTTAGGTCAATATCAGGCCATGCATCAAACAAGGTCCACTGAGAAAACTGTACACACGGACAGAAATAAAAAGTACACCCAAGACAAGTGTACTAAGGGCAAAAATCATTGACGGAAAGTTTGTCGAAACTCACAGTACTCCACTTAAAATGCAAACATATTCGCTATTGTATTGTGGCGTTTCAGCAGGTAAGTGACTTGTCACATCGGACAAGGTGCTCGAACGAATGTGAAAACCTAATGTGGTATGAGTCAGTCAACGAAACCTTGCCTGGGCGGACAATATGTTGAACTATTGGTCGCTCAAGTATCATCACTGGCTGTTGACCTTTTTGTCAAGCTAATTTAAGAATGGCTTTCAAGTAAGTTGATTGGTCCGTTTCTGATTTGTGCAGCGTTGTAGTTCCTGTGACTTACATCCGATTGGCTCGTTGGTGGGCCAATCGCGAATCTGTCAGAGAGACGTGCTTTGCATCGTCCTCTTTGTATCAGCCACCAGCCAGAGGTGGTGATATCACAAATCGAATCCATTACTGCAGTGTAACCCATCTAAGCCGTAGCCGACTCGGCGCATATGACAAGAATGTCATTTCCACTTGATTAGTGTAGCATTCAAATTCTGTCTATCTCACCTTGTCTACACATGTGGAAGCGTCACCAGTCGGTGCGTGCTGCCTAGCATTCTTTATGATGGTTTCTAGACCATCTAATAACGGCCCACTACAAGTTGCGCTTTGGGCACGCGTTGTTTGTGTAGTCAAACATGGGAATGGCACCTCACTTCCACACTAGGCTGAGGCGGCCAAGAAATGACGTGATCCTTGGTTGGTACGGCGCAGACGTAATCGTCTAGTCCTTGCTCTCTAATGTTGACTTGACTCCTATTTTGAATCTGGTTTATAGTTTATCACAACCTAACCACTTCGACCCTGCTGAAATACCGCAAGACCAGCCGGTCTTTCCTGGTAATCTTGATTGCCGAGCGCACACAATCCGGTCCTCCATTTCACATTCATTGGTGGGTCTGTGAGTCACGTGACATTTAATTCCACTCTTTTTGACTAGAACACTATTTATATGATGGCCGGCTGAGTTTTACCCTCTTCAGTATGAGAACTCGACTGGGAGCTGCTTGGCTCAGTCGCGTTTTCTGAGCCCTACCGAGGGAGTATTTCAGTGATATTACACTGGCTCAAGTCACCCTTCCAGAGTGCTTACTGTCCAACGTGTGTTTCCACCGGCTGCTATTTGAGGGATTCCACAAGTGCAGCTTGAAATGTGCTCAGAACATTCATGCATTTTCAGGCACCCGTGAAAAACGTGAACCTAGTTCCAGCAATCACAAACCTCACCGAAGTGAAAAAGGGTTTGGATTCCCTTGAACTGCGGATGATTCACATAACAGGACGAAATCTCTGTTGAGAATTACCAAATCTCCTCATACTACCATTGTAACGGTGATACTACTGATTGCGGGCATGCGAGTAGTATGTTTTCTCGTAACTCCGCTTTGCGTCTCGTGAAAAGTGAGATCTATTACGGGACTTGTGGAGTCGCATTTGCTTGGATTTGGGAAACAGTCAATGAATACCCAGGAAAGTTCAGGAAGACGCGTTCAAGAGAAGGTGGATGCTCAGTTTTTGTAAACAAGATGCATATGAGAGTTTTGCTTCCCTGTCCAATAGTCTGTAATTGTCCAGTTGATGTTTTCTAATAATTAAATTCACAGTGAAGGCCTTCTTCCTTTCACCATGAGTTCATCAGTAGGTCGCAAGGAAGCGTACTTCGACAAGATGACTGGAACTTTCGTCTATGAAGGCACCACTCAGGCAGCCAGTCAATAGAAATTTGATATCTGAGCAAGGTAACCATTGGGATGAAAACTGACGACTAATCCACTGAATAAACCTATTCCTCGCCCCGGTTGACAATGTTCTCAAAAAAAGAACCTAATGATGAGCTAATATACAAGCACCTAGTATTCTGAGGGGAAAATTCGACAAGACTAAAATGTACTCTCGCATTTTTTACTAATTCAATTACGATTGGTTGGCTAATGATATCATCTTTCAACCAGCGATATTTCGGGACATTAGAAATTTGAGGCGAAAGAATAATCGGACAGAGAACGCTTTTATTCCAATAACGCCTTTCCGTCATCCACATACTCAAAAAACTACATCAGGAATGTTGGATATTAGTCTTGAAGGTCTCCGAGTAAATGAATTATGATAAAAACGAAAGAAACGGGTTACCCCTCGAGGGATGCTTGAATTCCAGCGTTGAAAAAAAAGCAGAAGGAGCGGGGTGGTAGTCATCCCCCTTGACAATCATTACAAACCCGAACTTTGGTGATACTTTCCTGATCTGTCGCATGAAAATCGATAGACATAATGGTGCGTGCGGTGGGTAAGGAATTACCATATGGCGATAAGACTTTTTTCAAAATCTATTAATAAAATGCAGCTCACGAGAAAAAAAATAGAAAGCAGTATCGGATACTATCAAAAAAGACGATCGATAAACGGCAACCCTATTTTGGAGGGTGCAGTAAGAATATTACGTAAAATCTTTAAGCCGGTTCTGAAGTAATTGTAACCTTGATACATTACCAAAAATCAACTACAATGCATTTTGACCTCCTACTTGATTCTTCGTATAAATACAGGTCAAGATGCAGCTGGAAAAAAACTCGAGGGGTAAGAGTGGCTCATTCGTTTGCTTCACCACTGTTTCACTTGCTGTCTTTTGTGATTTATTATTCGAAATGCTATCGCACCGATATTAATGACTTACTCCTGGAAGTGTTTGCTTTCCATGCAATGCATCTTGACACCTGGCGGCGGACTCCTTGTCGCAGAAGGTCACGAATGCACATCCTGTGGGAGATGTGGGCGAGAGAGAGAGTGCGTTTGATTAGAGGGTGAGTGAACAATGAAGCTTTCTATGACCACCACTATCTAAAACGTGCGGCGACAAAACGATCAGCACAAAGTGCAAAAACTGGGTGCAGATTAAGCGTTTGTTGAGATGCCCCAAAACACGTTTTTCCAGGACCGACGAGTTTTGCTCTAAGATGCTTGTACACATTAAGATGGCCCTCGGACATGTCTTTCATCCACGTGTTGTAGACTACAGTCTCCTCAATGCCTTCTTATTACCATGAACCTCTGTCTGGATAGCCACTTGATCGCCTGGCGCGCTCGGCCAAACCAGAAAAAGTCAATGGACGTTTGAGCCAGCTGCTCCATTGATCACTGTGGCGTTCAAGCGGGTCAAAAAAGTGATACTAAGAATACAACTCACCCGTCAAGGGCGAGTGGAGATCAACCAATGAAATCTGTCCCAACGAAAAACGGTTATTCTATTGGCTGTTATGTAGTCCCGCTACGTTCGGAGCTGGTTCTCCCTCAATAACAAGAAACCTCAGTGTCAGAGAGGTTTGGAGAAGTTTCCACTTTCGATCGAAGTTTGTTCAGACTAGGAGGAACTGCGGAACTGTTTAGTGGCCGTGTTTAAGATGCGGGCTTGAGATTACAAGTCTAAAACATACAACAAAAACTAATCGCAGTTTCTTCTCCGGAAATCCAAATTTTCTAGTAATTTCCAAGTACTAACAACCGGCCAAACTTCAATCGCGTCGGGCATCGACAAGGACTAAACAGATAGTCTGTTGAGTGCATAGTTTTATGAAGGTCATTGAACGATATGTTTTTCCGTATATTCTTTTATTTTGTATGTATGTATGTATGTATGTATGTATGTAAGTATGTATGT